CGGCGAGGTGATACATTGTCAGAATGACTGTCCGGCTGGTGAGTTCTCGTAGTGCAAGGTTTGAATATGCATCCCACCGTCACCTTTCACACTCCGCATTCATTGTATATTCCATAGCCTAGCATCATGAAAGAAGAAGCAGAAAAAGCCGTAGAGACAGTACGTTACGTTATAGTCACCGCATGCATAAACGAGGTGCTGATCGAACTTGCCTAGGCCAAAGGGTTACTCCAAGACTTTGTAGTCGTGGTTTCCCTCGTGCGGACCTTGACGGAATCTTTCGGTTCTGCCAGTGATCTATACCGGAAGCTCAAACGTAGATCTGGCAAGAAAGATAGCGACGACGAGGAAGATGAGTATCATATTCAGGGGCCATGGTATAGGCGTCGTCGCGACTCCATGTTTGGCTCAGAGAAGAGGAAAGGCGACTACAGTGACAGCGAGGAAGAGCTCATATTCACCTCTTCCTCTCAGATCCGAGCCGAGTACGAACGTGGGTATCGGAAGCTAGGCGAGCCGTTTGCGCGTGGCGATGGTATGTTCTCATTCAGGTTCACACCACCAGGTGCTGATGTCGAACAGTCACAACGCATACCCAGCTGCAGTCTCAGATTATAAAGCTTCAGCAGACGGTCATCAATATCCAGCAGGATCTACTACTAAGCACGTATATGGCGCCGTCATCTTCGCACTCGCACCTTGCACGTCTGATTCAGACGGCTCGCACGGCGCGCGCGGCCTCCATCGCTTCGTTGAACATGCAGTACGAACGTATGCTGCCACCACTCCCATCACCGCTATTACCTCGACAACCCGACGCACCTTTAAGAGTCCCTGGCGCATTTCCACTACCAGACCATCCGCGACCGCCTTCAAGACCACTGCGGCACAAGAAGCGCATGGACAGCAGCTCCAGCTCCTCGTGCGAGTCAAAAGAGGTCTTGATCAAACCGATACCAATCGTGAAGCCCAAATCAAAGCCCACGCCTATACCTCCACCCCCTCCCCCACCTCAGCCTCAGCCTCAGCCTCAGCCTCCATCTTCACGCTACAGCACGAGGCTCTTTTGTATCTACGCCAAAGACCTCCAACACAACCCCCGTCTCCACCTTGCCGACGCCTACCGACCCACCGGCGACCACAAGTGTCCTTTCTGCCGCACGCACGTCCCCATCCAACCCGGAAAAGCGTGGGAGCTCGTCGTCGACGGCTACAAGAAGAAAGACGAACACGGGCATTGCAAGACGGTACCGCGAACGTTTCGCATCAAGAACCGCTTTATTGTCAAGAGCCATAGAGAAGGTGGGGGCTTTGCATGTGTGCTTTGCGCGAGGTTCAGGAAGTCGGATACCGTGTGTAGGGGTATTGAGGCGCTGATGGATCATCTTTGGAGGGAGCATGCGAGTGAGGAGTTGGAGAGGGATGCGGATATTGTGGAGGTGTAGAGGGATGTTTGATGCTTTTTGTTCGGTGTTCTAATGATTGGCGTTGGTGATACCCTTTTCGTAATGATCTGCTGCTTTGAACTTTCATTTAACACTTTTGCAATATAATCATGGATGCTATATGAACAGTTCGATCAGACTCAAAAGCCTACTCAATATGCGTAGAAAACGTTGACACCATCCCTCTTCAGCCGCCGGTTCGTCACCTGGAGCCACGCCCTCAGCGCCCAGGCCGATGCAATACACGCCCCGGCAAACGCCGCATTGCTACTCATAGCAATTACATACTTGGGTCCGTCGCTCGCGGGATACAGGTAAGGCGTGTAGATAAAGCTAGCCATGGAAACCACATTGACTATGGACAGCGACACGGCCTTTTTCTCCGTGGTTTGGCCGAGCGTTCCTGACACCCAGCCCAAAATCACCGAGTTGACCGAATAAACGCCTGAAACACGCAATGTTAGTAGGATTTCTCACAACAGGAGTGTCAAGAAGGACGGGGATGATGGGGGGGACAACGCACCGGAAGCGAAGAGGAAGCAAGAGATGTAGCGCGCAGCGGTGTTAAGCGTGATAGCACTGATAGCGAACCCAACGACTGCGATTCCCATCATGACAGTAATGTGCCATGTTCTATCGTTGAACTTGCCAGACGAAATGCCGATGCATATGCCGACCACGCCGGCAACGAGCGACGGCGGAGCAGTCAAGACCAACGTGATGGTTGTACTGAAGCCCAGAGACCTGACTACAGTAGGGAAGAACTGTGTTTTGTTAGTAGCTGTAGCATGAGAGTTGTTGCAGGAAGCATGGCCTCATGCGACATACCTGATTGAAAGACGTAGCGCTCAAATGCATATTCTGCATAAAGACCAGAAGATAAAGTCTTGGGTCGCGCAGAGCCTGCATGAAACCCGCTTTGACTCCTTTGCTTGGCTCAAGTCCAACGGTGTCTCGCTGGATACGATCGTGCGCCAGTTGACGTTGTTCAGGTGTGAGCCACTTCGTTGTGAGCGGCTCATCCGGTAGTAGGAATACACAGATGATAGACACGCCGACTGTGACGATGCCTTCGATTATGAAAAGCCACTGCCATCCGTGCATTCCATGCTTGTCGTCCAGCGTCGCGAAAGTAGCCGCGGCAATGAGTCCAGCGAAAGAGACGGCGAAGATGTTTCCGGCATACAGGATAGATACTCTTGTAGCGATTTCCTTGCGCGTGTAGAACATGCTTAGGATATATAGAGCGCCTGGATAGAACGGGGCTTCGACGAATCCGAGGAAGAAACGCACCAGCACCAGTCCAGTGTAGTTTTTGACTAGAGCTGTGAGAGCTGCTACACAGCCCCAGACGGAGCAGCACAGAGCCATGTAGAGCGAAGGCCGCACTTTTTTGGAAGACATGAGCATGTTACTGGGTATCTGCGCAAAGAGATAGCCAACGTAAAGAATGGATATGCAGGTGTTGTATTGGTTTCCGACTAGACCAAGGTCGTCTTCGAGATCGTTGAGGCGCGCATTTGCTATCGCATTCTGGTCGAGCTTGTTGCTGGGTAGCACAAGTGTTAGCAATGTGAAGATCGAAGGGGTTTTGTGACGTACAGAAAGTACATGCAGAAGAGCGCTGGCATCACTCGCATGTCGAGCTTGCGTACCAGGGCGATCTCTGCTGGATCTGTCTTGGCAATCGCACCAGTGTAGTCGGCGCCATCGAGCGCAGCTTGCGCCTTGAGGTCTTTTTCGGATGTTGCGACATCGTCGATTTGCAGGGGCACATTCTTCTCGGTATCTTCGTAACGGTCGGTGTTTGCGTTGGCCATGTTTGGCGATCTTCAGAAGCGCAGGATTGATGACTCGGTCATGTGCAGAATTCTGAAGTATCCTGAAGAACAGCACGAAAGGCCAACCCTCCTAAGAGAAGCGCCTTCTATATACCCCAGCTGGACGAACGTTCCCCAGAAAGTCCATGAGCAAGCTTGACCCCGGACTTTCCCCAGACCCCAACTTCTACGTTGCGGCGCGGAGAAAAACATGGGGAACATGACAATGTCCAGAGCGTCCCGCGGCGTCCGCTACGAGTCAAGTTAAAGACTAGGTAATTGGCCATGAGAATCGTCGGCTGGTCCTGGGTGGAGAGCGGCTTGCGGCTGGAAGACGCTAGCGCGGACAAAGACATGTCCGGTACGCCTGAGCGGCACATCGGCTCATGCCAGTGGCACTACGTCGGAACATTGCAAGTCCCCGTTACTCGCATGACTCCATCGAGACTCCAAAGAGCAAACCGGAGCGATTCATCATGGCGTTTTGGCGGACTCTCTCAAGTCCGCCTGCCAAACATGCGCTCGAGACCTAGCACGAAGTCGTATGCTGCAGTGAGATCGTCCAACGTTTGCCGCTCGGCATTTCCATGTAATGGATGGGCGAAGTACATATAACGCAAGCTTTCGATCCAAGATTCAGCACCATCCAACGCAAATCAAACTCGTCCACTCTCCTACAATCAACTCTTACTCCCTATCCAAACCCCACTACTTCTCTCACCACAATGGGTTCCATGCCTGAGGTCAAGCAAGCTCCCCAGATCGACCTCGCAGGTCTCGTCCCTGCGCCGGTCACTCCATTCAACAAGGATGGCTCGGTCGACTACGCAGCCATCCAGCGTCTTGGCTCCTGGCTCGGCAGCATTCCAGGCGTGAAGGGTCTGGTCGTGCTGGGACACGCTGGCGAGGGCACTTTCCTCACCCAGGAAGAGCAAGTAGAAGTCATCAAGGCCTTTGTTAAGTCTGTGGACAACAAGATCCCCATCATTGCTGGTATCACCACAGAGGGCACTGAGGTGGCTGCGCTCGAAGCTCAACGCGCCAAGGCTGCTGGTGCGCAAGCGGGTCTTCTGTACCCCAGCCATGGCTGGCTACGCTTCGGATATCAGCCGGGAGCGCCCCAGGACAGATACAAGACTGTGTACGAAAAGTCCGGACTTCCTCTCATCCTGTTCCAATATCCCGACAACACCAAGGCTACCTACAACCTGGACACGCTACTCGAGATTTCCGCACAGCCCGGTGTCATCGCTATGAAGAACGGCGTCCGCAACATGCGCCGTTGGGACGTCGAGATTCCCATTATCAAGAAGCAAAACCCCGACCTTACTATCCTCACATGTCATGATGAGTACTTGCTACACACATGCTTCGACGTCGACGGCATGCTTGTTGGGTACGGCAACATCGCGCCCGAACCGCTGCTTGAGATGATTGAAGCCGGCAAGGCGAGAGACTACCCTCGTGCAAGAGCTGTTCATGACAGACTGCTCCCAGTCACTAGGAACGTTTACCATCGTGGCTCGCACATGGAGGGAACTGTTGCACTCAAACATGGTCTGGTGGCGAGGGGCATCTTGGAGCACGCGACAGTGCGAAGTGGACTTTTGCCATTACAAGACGGCGCAGAGCAGGAGATTCATGCTGCATTCAAGTCAGCCTCGCTGGGCAAGGTCACACCGCCAAAATCGGGTTGATTGTATGTAATTGGTATTATTAGTATTTCCCTTGACGCTCAATGAAAGCTTTGTTCATGATAAAGTGGATTTTCAGTCATCGCAGGGTCGTTGCCGAACCAGTAGTTGATGTCTTCGCCGTTGAAGAGATGCATGATCTCTTCGTTGGGTAAGGGATTGTCTGAATATTGCTGTGCAATACCAAGAAAGTTCCCTGCTCCCGCAAGATAGTCGAATGTTAGACTGTTGGCATTCTGCATCTCGGCAGATTGTGCGTTGGCGTTAGATAGGGTTGACTCTGTCCCTTGGGTTGTGAAGTTTGCGGAATATGGTACTGCATGGGGCTGATCGGCAAGTCTCTGGAGCTGTCCTGTTGGCGTCACTGTGCCTGTCGCTGGATTGTGTCTTGAGGCCACGTAATTTCCCGAACGATTTGCTGTTACTTGTCTCTGAGCTTGCCAGTTATCCATGCCAATGGAGGGGTCGCGAGCAGCATGAGTTGCCGGCCGCGAGCTGTCCCTAGACGTGTTCGTAAGGTCGCGGCTACATGGCTTATCGAGTCGTGTGACAAGGTTTTGGATAGCGACTATGCATGCGTCTGGCCAACTCGTACCCCTCAACGCCAGGTGCTTGAGAATCTGAATGCTTCGGTCTGAGAGCCTGAATGCGATGTCGCGCGTAACCTGTCCGTCCGCAGCGGCAGACAGGATAATAAACGTACTCATCCATACTGCCCAGGTAAATGATGGCCAGAGCAGAGGAGTTCTTTCGTATCCATGTTGACCGGGTGAGCCATCGAACGCCCCGAAACCCCTGAGGGCTTTGTGTAATGTGTTTATTATGGAGCGCGAGGCTGATATGCAGCGTTGCAGCGCAGCGTTGTATGCAGCGTTCTTCTTAGACGTTGCTAACACGGAACGATGGAGAGCAAGCACTGACTCGAAGCGAAGGACGATGAGTGTGACTTGATGTGCTTTGGATATGGTTTGCGTCTGCTCGTCATTAGACAAGTGTTCATCGACCATATTCCACCACTTAGTATGCTCTGCCTCCACTTCCAGGGCTTGATCGACATCATCGGCGCTACCATGCAGCATGGATTGGTGTCGCGTTTGCATGATGGATCCGCGGATGTCGGCGTGGCGAGCTAGAAAGTCCAATAAATCTAGTCGATCATCACGGGTGCGATCTTGAGATGAGTTAGCCGAGAACCCTTGAAACCCAATCTGCTACAAACATACCAGCTTCCTCAGGCTCCCGTAGGTGTCGCTCTGTGTGTGGGTAGCAGACATTTGCCTCGTCTGACCTTATGCCGAGCGGCGTACCAAGTCGGATGCATATATATCTATCGATGCATATTACAGACCAGAAAAGCCGCTTCCTTAGCTCAGCTTCTTTGCTTGGAACTGATAACTGTAACGGACAGCGATGCAAACTCAACTGGAAGGCCATTCGAACGGCCAAACCTTCCAGACGCGACGCCGCGTTGTACCTGTGCATCGTGATCAAGAACAATTGTACGCTAACAAGAGCCTGCAAAGAGAGGATCGAGCTCTCTTCAGTCAGCACCAACTGGACGCTTCTGATGGCGTCGTTGACGGAATGGAAAACGAGTGTTGTAGGCACTAGCTTGTGTGTAAGATTCATCTGTCGCCGGTCGTGGATGGAGATTGACATGATGGAGCGAAGTATGATGTGTTGGAGTTCGTTTGCTGTAGATTGAGATGCGATGCGAACGCCTCTCGACACGATTTGACGAAAATAATCCAGTAAAGAGGGCGCATGAAGAAACGGAAAGGCGGGATGCCAATGGTCGAAGTAAGACTGACTCCATTCGAGAAGGTCATCAAATGCGATAGCTGATGTGACGCTCTCTGGTGCAAGCGGGCGTACTTCGTCTGCTTTCCAAAGCCATCTTGAAGCACTCTTGGCGGCACCTGCGGGTAGCTGATCATCTTCTCCGGGTGCAGCATCACTCTCTGGGGTATCGACATGACGCACGGATGCCTGGTTCGCGGCAATGTTTCCTGCGCTGGACGGAGGCCTGAGGTTACTGCCGGGGCTGGTGCCGAATGTACTGCGACTGTGATCCTGAGGGCTCGTTCCTTCATTCCCGAATTCCCGAAGCTGCTGGCCCATTGTCTGAAGAAATGCTCTACGTTTCCTTACCGCCCCGACATCGGGCACCGCTGTGTTGGATTCCGACTCATCATGAAGAGCCTGTCGCTTGTTGGACCTCGCATTGGCTTCGGCCATCATCTATTCGACGATGCACTACACATGAAGCTTGGATATCAAGCTTTAGTTGTACTGCAATCGATATCGCCGCGACGACGGTCACACACTGCAGTTGTGGGTGGCTGATGGAGATAGAAGAGGCTGGAGGTGGTTGAGCTGACAGACGCGACGAAGATGACGCCTGACAAGCTATGAACCCTGGCAGCCTCATGGCGTTAGCGCAACGCGAGTCAGTTTCTCGGCCTGAAATTCGTGTTGCAAATTCACTGTCAATGTGTGCTTTACTTGCTACATGCTGTTTTCATAATACGTTTTAACATGTGAAAAATACACGTAGGATCCCAAAGATTCGTACAATCTCAAAAATATTTACGCCATTGTTCTGTAGTTGGAGGACGCGAGTCAAGCGACGTGCCCACCGAAGGTGCAACAGGCTCTGATGTGCCTTCGCCTGTGGAATACGCTTCGTTTCCTACATTCCCTCGCGGCGACATTGCTAACATGTCTTGGTCTTGATGAAGAGGACCTGGCGCGGGTTCTGGAACACCGAGTACATCTGGTGCTAACTGCCACGTAGCTTGCGCAAATGGGAGGTTTGATCCGTCTACGACTGATGACCGCACATCCTCATAGTTTGCCACCACAGGACTCGACTCCATGACCCACGGTTCCGTCTGTGCAGGGCTTTCCTGAGATGCGTGACTACTGCCTGCTTCAATGCCTTTTCTTATAAGACCTTGTCTTCTTGACCACCAAGATAGACGTTCCTCGTCTGTGTTGAGAGGGAGGTTCTTCCATTCTTCTATCCTGCTCGACTTGGCCTGCTTCTGCACATTCTCTGCTAGTACACGACGATCTGTGTCAGAGAGACGTCGCATCTCAATCGGCACCTGAGAATTGTAGATCGTGGAAAGGAGCTCCAACACGACAAGCTCGGTCTCGAGCAATCGCTGCTCAACGAAGGATATATAACCCGATGGGATGCCTCTAGTACAACCTTAGCTTCGCTTCCAAGAAACCACTCTCTTCACACCTTTTGTTAAGCGGCGGATACCGACACGAAATCCCTGCGGACACACATTGCGAGCAAATCGGTAATTCGCGATCGCACTGTAGTATGTTAGTTGATGCGTTGCGATGCTGGTTGATGGCGAAGACCTTTGACTTCTTGTTGCGACAGGACTCACATGCAATCGGATGGAAGGCACCAGATTCGTTCTAGATCGTGTGAGAAGGCTGCCAAGCTTGAAGATCTGGGGTACTTGGGACTACTCACCATTGCATCGGCGCTGCATGGGCACCGCTGGCGGAAGACGGTTCTTTCTTCGTGCGCTGCCGGACTTGTCTTTGTCCTAGCGTGATGCCCCGCTTATTGTTCGGAGCTGCATTTGCGGGGATGACAACTCAGACGAAGCTACCTCGCAACAATGCAAAGTTCCCAAAGAGTTGTCTCGAGAGCAGGGAAAAACAATTTAGTATTGAATGATTACACAATAAACTCTATCAAACTCATCATCCCAGCCCCAAGCCACCAATGTAACTACCCCAAGTATCACCACCTCACCCCTTCAAATACTTCGCTCCACTCCTCGTACCCCCCTTCACAACCTTCCCCAGGGAGTTCGACCTCCGCTCCTTCGCCATCTGGATCACATGTTCGTCGTCAAGAACAACCTCTTTCCCCGCCTTCGCTTTGCGCGCCGCTCTACCTGCTGCAGCCGCTTTGCTCATCTTCTTCGTAACCGCTGTGGTTTTGGTGGTCTTTTTGGTAGGCTTGGTCTTGGTGGACGTGACAACGGTGGTGAGTTCCTGAACATCTTTTGCGAGGTCGTCGTCAGAAAGCTCGTCGGAGTCGCCAGATTCATCGGGTTGGAAGTGGACGGCTTTATCTGGAGACTTTTGCGTCTTGGTTCTGCTGCTTTTCCGTGAGGAAGAGACGATAGACTTTGACCGCTTGGTCTCGGGGGTGTAGTTTTGTTCGCTGAGACTGCGTTTACGCTTGGGCTGTTTTTTGGTGGCGGTCTTGGGGGTAGCGACGTTGGTCTGACCTGGGGTATGCTGCGTCTTGGGAGGTGAAGCCTGGGTAGACTTTGGCTGACGACCATTTGGCTTGTTCGGGATGACCACCTGTGGATGGATACTAGTCTTAGTCGGCGATGCAGGACTGGGAGCTGCAGTACTGACACCGCTTTGGCGTCTCGGGCTACGCTCGAGGGATGTCGCCCGCTCTCGGTTGAGCTTCCTAGCGACAGGTGAAGTGCTTTGTGGGGTTCGTGTAGGTATATCCAGGTTCGCCTGCTTTGCTGCGTTGAGAGCTTCCTCTGCCTTACGGACCTTTTCACGAGCTATGAGAGCTGCCGACTGTGCCGCACGAGCTTTGTCCCCTATAGCATGCGCATCCTCGTCTTCTAGGCGTGGCTGATCAATACTGCGGCCAATAGCACCGGTACGAGACTTGACAGGTGTCGTGTTGACAGCATCGCGGATCGTTGTAGGATCTACTAGGTTGATGTTAGCGAGACACATCCAAAAGAAAACTATATTGCTCACCTTGAGTTCCTGCGGAGAATTTGTCCAGGAAGACTCGTGGCGCATATTTATAGTTGCCGGCGCGCACTTTATCATCATATTGGTTCAATTCTTCCACAACCTCTTCCAGGCTTCCAGGAGTTCCCAACTTGCTGATCTCCTCTTGAACTTCGGCACTGGGTATCAGAAGCTTGAAGCGTGACCCAGACTCGTATACCGGGAGGTTCTTGTACTGCTCCAATTCAGGGCGATCAAAAGGTATGTTAGTCTCGACAATCTTGCCTTCTGCCTTCATTTTCTTGCCAGACTCGGAAAGATCAAAGTCAATCTTGAGACTCTCCCAATGCGCCATCTGAAAAGTCTCTGGAAACGGCAGCGAGGCTGGATAGTTCTTGTGCCACTTTTCCGGTTCGTTGCTCGGGCCACCGTACTTGAACCGTTCCTCGCGCCGTTCCTTTGTTTCTGCCGCAGGCACTTGTTTGCGGGGCATGGCCTGAGGTTCGTCCGGTGTATCGCCTCTTCGATAAAGAGCTTGCGTTGCAGAAGGCGTATCGGATTCTGATGCCTCCTCTATGATCATCGACGTAGGAGAATCCCCGCCTAGCGAAGACGATGAATCTTCTCGCGTAGCTTCTTCCTCAAACTCGAGCCGCGCTTGACGAATCATAGCTTGCGCGCGCTCATACAGCTGGTCGTTGAAGTTGCGCTCTTGCGGAGGAAGTCGCTGGAGGAGATCCTCGTCGATCCTCTCAACGTGATTCATGTAAGTGCTATCAGTGTCATCGCCTCCTTCGTTATCCAGGTAGCGGATCGCTTGAGCTAATCGTCTGTCGTTGATCTCTCGCTGTGTCGGCTCCTCCTCGCTAACTGGAGGGACGTTTTCGAAAGCTGAGATATCCATGTGATCTGGGGATAGGGCTATCTCAAGGTTGCGATTTGCAGACGCCAAATACTACTGGAAGCGCCTGTCTTGGTCTGTGACAATGTTTGTTCACTTGAGCGCATTAGCAGATGACACTTCATTCATGCACGTAGCAAACATACCAAGACGTCTATGCTTCAAACGACTCTTGAACCTGACCAAGCGAAAAATCGATACATCTCTTGCCATGATGCCGGACGGCATTTGAGTGCGCAGTAGTCTGTAGGCGTCTTTGTCATGACGGCCGGGTACTGGACAAAGGCCATCTGAAGCAAACAGACCTGGTGCCTGCCGCAAGCGGCATTCCTACTTGAGATTGTTTGACTATCGTACCGACATTTCTTCTTTGTGCGTGTCAAAGACAACCAGACGTCATTTACAGCCATTGTCTCGGCCTTACTATTCAGC